ATGTCAGTATCATATGTGAATATGTTATTATTAATAATAATTGTAGTTGCTACATGTATCAAGTTGGTGAGACATTTCTGTCCAGTATATATATATATATTTTTTTAGAAAAGTACGATTACATTCCCAACCAAGTATACTGCATATATTGACTATTAAAATACACACATTGCTGCAATACTAAATGTGGCACCAAGGCAGATCTCAATCATTTCTTTTTAATAGTATTGTCCCAACGCTGCGCTGCTTATAGTTGCCTAAGTTAGCTCTACATAGATTCGATGCAGCGGCGATCGAATTCTATTAGTATCTTTCGAGTGTGTGATGGGGTCCGAACAAATACGACTATAAGAGCGTCATGAATGGGCTCAGAAAGCACACACACTTACACTAAAAACGCATTGTGTAAAATGAAACACTGTGTATTAGAAGTACCAGGTAGAATATTATAAAATCCTACAAGCGAGTACTGCTGCTGCCATTGTTGCTATACGCTAGCGGCAGTTTAGTTGGGGACTCGTCTTTTGCTCGGATCACCTTCTTTGCCTTCATTTTCTGATTTACCAGTGATTTGATAGCAGATTTTCCACCCCGAGAGCTGTTGATACTAGGCAGTGAGATCCCGTCTCCTCGTCTGCCTGCTGTCCGAATTTTGCTGGCCATGTTGCGTTTTGCACTCTGCAACGAGTTCTGCAATGTGATCACGATGCCGTGCGACTCGCCAAGATACGTGGATGTAATCTCCTTGCCTTTCTTGTACGATTTTAGACTCAGATCCCAGCATTTCAAGAATTCTTGTTCGACGCCCACGTTGTGGTACGCGATGCCCAAGACTGCCACACGATCAAGTTTAATCATCGGATCGATCTTGTCGCCATTCTTTCCATTAAAACCCTTGCGTGTTGGGCTGGATCCATTCTCAACTCTACCAAGTTGCAGCTCTTCATGTAGATTAATCAACGCCGACTGAGCGTGGCCAAGTGCACTCTGGTGTTTACCAAGCTGAGAGAGTACAGCGCACATATTGAGATGTGTATCTGCTTTATTCGGTAAATTATCCAGACGTGACTCGATCTTGAGCGCCTCGGTTAAATAAGTAAGTGCTTTGTGGAGATTCCCCTGTCGACGGTAGTAACACGCTAAGTTATTGAGTGTAACAGCTCGACCCGCGGGATGTCGTTCAGTTAGAATTTCAGCCTTCTTGAGCAACTCCAGCACGACACGGAACTCTTCCTGTTGCAAGTAGGTCATGGCCAAGAGGTTGCACATTTCACCCACAGTCCTACAGGATGTCCACACTTCGTCGCTGTCTGCCCCGAAGAAATGCTGCCTTAGTACAAGACCTTTCTCCATACATTCGAGTGCCTCTGTGTATCTTCCCTCTTGCTGTAGCTGTGCACATTTGTCGTCTAGTCTCTGCAGTGCAACGAGTTCTTTTTGATTCTCGATAAAGTGCGTCTCCTCCAATTGCTCCAGCTCATCAACATGTTTCGAAGATGGAGAGAGAGACTTTGACTTGCTTGGCTGACTCATGTCCGTAGCAGGATCCGTCTGCAGAGTCGGTGGGATGTCATTGTTTAAGCCCACGCTGTCCTCAAAGACCACCGTCTTTCGGTCCATTATCTAGATTGCCAAATCTGCTGTGCTTTGCTGACAGTGCGCTTCAACAACACTGTAGCCATTTATAGACATGGCTACAAATAGCACTACCGCTTCCATTTTAATAGAAGGTCGTAACGGTTGGAGACCAGTAAAAAAAACATGGCTACATCTGACGTGGCAGAATCGATCAGCGCAAATGGGAGCAGCCCCGCGCAATGAGAGCAGCGCCACGCAGCAACAGGAACGCGATGGCAGCATAGAGAACGGAGAACAGACCAAGGAGCAAGAGCAGCATGCGATAACGATCGTCCCGTTGCGCGTGCGAGTCGACGATGACGCACAGAGCGAGACTCTGCTGGAGTTCGAATGTGACTGGGCTCCGGGTATCGGTGGCTCCGTCTGGACTAGCGGGGAGCTCCTCGCTGCGCAGTTGGAACTACAACGCGAGCACTACCGCTCGATCTTTGACGGTGCCCGCGTGGTAGAGTTAGGCAGTGGAACAGGTTACGTTGGACTTATGGTCGCCGCGTGTTTTAAGCCGGCACACGTTTATCTTACGGATCTATCGACGCATATTCACGGCCTGCATCGCAATGTGGGGCGCAACGCGAATGCTGTGCGTGCTGGCGTGCAAGTGCACGTCGCGGAGCTGAGCTGGGGCTGCTCGGAGCAGGAGACGAGTCTACTGGAGTCGATCGCGACAAGCGACGGCTCGGACAGGAACCTTGAAGAGGTGGATGTCATCCTGGGCACTGACGTGGCGTATCTGCGGGAGCTGTACGATCCTTTACTGCATACGATGAACCGCTTGGCAACGTCGCGGACGCTGATCCTATTGGGCTTGAACCGGGATGACACACGCCTCACGTTCTTCCAGCAACTAGAACGCGACGGCTTCGAGTACTATAAGATCCCGGACTTCAAGCTCCCGCAGGAATACTGGGGTCGGGACTTTGGGCTGTTCGAGATTCGTCGCGCCCAAGAGGATGGAGCAACAGATCGCTCGTGAACCCAGGGCAATTGCACTCGCACGTGAAATCAACAGCAAAGCTCAAAGGTATCCGATAATTGTGGACGCAGCGAGCTACCTCAAGACCTCCTAGATACTGTACTAAAGCAACCAGGTAAACCAGACGAAATAGACACCATAGAAGCGATTGTTGTGATGCTTAGTGTTGGCATTTGCCACAAGAGCATGTCATGGAGGAAGAGATGTAGCCATTTCGCGACGCGACTACAGTACCTTGCGACAACCTGAACCTTCACTTTTTTCTCATCAAGATCGGTTTTCCCCACCGCGAAGCTTCAACGCTTGATGTTGGCCATGGCATTTGCTCCATCGGCCATGGTTGCAATGACACTGGCAGGAATGTGTTGAGGTTGTCATTGCACTGGAAGATTGAAGTGTGGCGTGAACACGCCCATGTTGGACTCCAATGTGCGGAGCTCTGCGGCTGCGCTTTTGGATCGGACTGGTGCCACAACACGACGGCACGATACACCCCCTCCATCGTCTGCACTTAATTGCTCTGTCCGTCCTCGTGACTTCCGTCCCTTTGGATTCTTGCGCGCATGTTCCGCGCATCCCTCAGTTGAAAGTCTTCCCTCGCTCAACTGTTCCCTTCGATGCAGTTCGAGCAAGCAGAGACTGCTCATGGTCCGTCGTGGCCGGCTTCTCGACACTCCGCAGTGTATCACCGCAGCAACTCGAATGCAAGAATAGCATGAGTCCGCTCGACTCAGCTCCCCCCAAATATTGTATTGACTTGACGATTTTTGGATTTTCTTTGGCGTCTCGCCATAACCGTCGTTGAATACGCCAGAAAATGTATCTTTTCCGGTCACATCCGTACCGTGTCCGAAAGCCAACTCTAGCACCTGTGGAATTACATTCGTAAAACAATTTAGATCTTACAAAAAC